ATGATGATGATGATGATGATGATAATGGAGATGTCCCGAGTAGGTCCACAAAGGCTGTGGTTGCACAGGTTTTTTATCCTTTATTTTATTTTATTTTAATTTTATTATTTCTGTTTATATCCCGCCTTGCCAGACATCCTGGCTCCAGACTGCCAACAGGGTTAAAGTAACTTAAACGATACAGAGATGAAACAGTTAAAAATGCAAGACCAGTTAAAACAGCAAAAGGGACAGATAAAAATCGACAGATGATGGCGATCGTCTAATTCACACCCAATGATAGGAGTAGCATCCAGCGAGGTCTCAGGCCAGAAGATGTTCTAAGTTTCAAGCCAGAAGATGTTCCAGGGCGGCTCCTAATCGAAGGCCTGGTGGAAGAGCTCCGTTTTAAAGGCCCTGCGGAACTGTAAGAGGTCCCGCAGGGCCCTGATGTCCTCCGGGAGCTCATTCCACCAGTATGGGGCCGCCACTTAGAAAGCCCTGGCTCTGGTGATATTCAGCCTGGCTTCTTTCCGTCCAGGGAGGGTCAAGCAGTGTTGCCACCCTGACCTCAGTGCTCTCTGGGGCCCATGTGGGGAAAGGCAAGTAGGCAGGCCTGCCCAGTCCCTGGTGTGTTGGTTTTTTTACTTCCAAGATTTTATTTGTTTGTTTGTTTGTTGTATTTATAACCCGCCCTCCCCAGGGCGGCTCACCTTGCCTGACAAGATTCATATACAGTCAAAACATTTAAAACTTTAAACATTTTACACTATTAAAACATTTAAATGTATACACTTTACATATAGATTGTTTTTAATTTAATTAAATTAGTTGGGAACTAAAACTTGCTCAGTATCCTTTGCTTAGCCAATCAAGTCTTGTCCCGTAGTATTTTCACCCTCCATATCTCCCCCTCATGATAGTTTTCATAATACTTTTTATAGTTCCTATCCCAAGGTACAAATACAAAACAAGATTCAAGAGTTCTGTACTTTAAAAAAAAAATCCAAACCCTTCCACAGATGATATAAGCATTACAAAAAAGACGAGAGTGGTTTTAGTGCAGGGGGCTGGACTAGATGACCTGCAAGGTCCCTCCCAACTCTAACATTCTGTAGTTGCCAGTTCTGATTGGAAAATATACAACTACTGAAAAGTGAACATAAGTAGTTGGGCATTATAAGAGACGTCAAAGGGCTCTGAAATTCTTACAGTTGCAGTGCATGGCGGGAATCCCCGTATTGTGGGGGGGGGGGAGCAAATCCAATCAGACCTGCTGCATTCTTGAATGTCGTAGCCTTCTGACTGATCTTCTGTACTGGCTGGCTGAACTCCAGCTCTTAACCATTATTGGGTAATGCTCTTTGTATGTCATAATTCTAAAGTGGCGTTCAGAGATGTGAGGAAAGAGAGCCAAGCCGCGTGGAGAGGAAAAACAAGCTAACCATCCCTTTCATTCTGTTTCGGTGTCATTCCAGAGGTATGTTGACGGAGGGATTTCCGACAACTTGCCACAGTATGAGCTGAAGAACACCATTACCGTGTCCCCCTTCTCAGGAGAGAGTGATATCTGTCCACGGGACAGCTCCACGAATATCCATGAGCTGAGAGTCACCAACACCAGCATTCAGTTCAATTTACGCAACCTCTACCGCCTCTCAAAAGCCTTGTTTCCACCAGAACCTCAGGTGAGAGCCCAACTGTTTTTGAGAGCACCGGGGTTTGTGTGGGCGCGCCTGTGTGCATGTCACATACATACCTCCATAGTGGGTGGTACTTTATTATTTCTTCTCATCAGTCGATGAACTTCAGAAGGGCTTATAATATTTTAAAAAGTGACTACTTCCTCTTAGTTGTTGTTTTTTTTTAAACCCAGCCATCAGTCTGCTGTTAAAAGCCATGAGAAATGTGCGTGCTGGTCACACTAGCTTTCTTGCACGGGGCATAGTGGGAGACAGGTGAGGCGGTGATAAGCACACAGCCTAGATGCCTGCACAAACTAAGGTTATGTCTGGTACAGTAAACCAGTTTCTGTTCGTGGAAGTCATTGCATTTTTTAAAGTGCTGTTAGACTCCTGTTTACAGCAGACCGATGCAGCCACACTGCTGGAATTCCACCGAGGGTTTGTCGCACTAACCACTATTTAAATAAAGCACCATTTATTTTGGCATCCGAATCGTAGTCCTAGTATGGGATTCTTAACCATTCTAAGAAAGCACTGTGATGGAGTCGAGGGATGATGTCCATAGTTTCCCGTCCCAGTTCGGTGTAGTGGTTGAGTGTGCGGACTCTGATCTGGGAGAACCAGGTTTGATTCCCCACCCCTCTACTTGCACCTGGTGGATGACCTTGGGCAAGCTGTAGTTCTGATAAGAGCTGTCCTTGAAAAAGAGAAGTTTCTGTCAAGAGCTCTCTCAGCCCCACCTACCTCACAGGGTGTCTGTTGTGGGGAGGGGAAGGGAAAGGAGTTTGTCAGCTGCTCTGAGACACCCTTGGGTAGTGAAGGGCCATGAGGTATCAATCCTATCTTCTCCTCCTCCTCCTCCTCCTCCTCCTCCTTCTCCTCCTTCTCCTTCTCCTTCTCCTGCTTCCTGATGACAGCGGGGGTGAGCTTGAACGCATGTGATCGGCCTCTTTCCCCCAAAGCTCCATAACCCGAGAAATGGGTTTTGTGATTTCCAGTGATCAGGGTGAAGGGTAGCTGCGTGTAACAACATGACTCATTCTGTGACTAATTTTATAACCTTGAGCCTCTTATCCCTCCCCCTTCCTGCTTATCGCCACATATTGCTCCAATGTCTCCTTGCAAAAATTCTGCTACAACCTCACATTTTGCATCTGGGATTAATTAAAAGTATAATACATTTATGTGCACTCGCAAAATCTATTGTGGTCTGTCCTGGCTCCCCCCATATTGCTCCAATGTCTCCTTGCAAAAATTCTGCTACAACCTCACATTTTGCATCTGGGATTAATTAAAAGTATAATACATTTATGCGCACTCGCAAAATCTATTGTGATCTGTCCTGGCTCCCCCCACCGGAGCCCCCAAATACACCTTTCTAGCTTCCATAAGTTTCTGGCACCCACGTGACAGGAAGCCATGTGGCATTTCTGCACATTTCCTTCCAGAAGCAAGCACAAAGTCACTTAGAGGCACAGGGTTTAGAAGTCATGCTGTCTTCATGCAATCTGGATGTTCGGTTTCATTCTTCAAAGGGTGCCGAGGACATAGCATGGTTGATTTGCTCCTTCCACCAGACAGACAGCCTTTCTGCACCTGGTGGGAGATGCTTATTGTTACATTTTAAGCTACATTTTTATTCTACCCTTTCTCCAAGGATCTTGGAGTACATGGATTGCCCCAACTTTCCCCCCCTTGGAGTCCAAAATGGTTGTACTTAAACCGTATCCCTGTATGCTGTACCTGAGGGAAGGTGTTCTAGAGCCTACTGCCCAGAATGAAGTCACTCCACCAATGTTCCCTCTAAGCTGTGGAGTCTTGTGAGCAAAAATTCAACTTTGTGAGTGACTGGCATTAAAGTTGTGAGCGAGCGATATGGCTACTGCATAAATCAGTTTGGTGTCGTGGTTAAGTGCGCGGACTCTGATCTGGGAGAACCGGGTTTGATTCCCCCACTCCTCCACTTGCACTTGGTGGATGACCTTGGGCAAGCTGTAGTTCTGATAACAGCTGTTCTTGAAAAAAAGAGCAGTTTCTGTCAGAGCTCTCTCAGCCCCACCCACCTCACAGGGTATCTGTTGTGGAGAGGGGAAGGGAAAGGAGATTGTAAGGTGCTCTGAGACACCTTTGGGTAGTGAAGGGCGGGATATAAATCCAATCTCTTCTCTTCTTCTTCTCTGGAGCCATCCTTCCTGACTGAAGACAAAAATGTGTGAGCTGGAGGCTAAAAAACTGTGAGCTAGCTCACACTAACTCAGCTTAGAGAAGAAGAAGAAGAGAAGAAAAGATTGGGTTTACACCCCGTCCTTCACTACCTGAAGGAGTCTCAGAGCGGCTTACAAACTCCTTTCCCTTCCCCTC